CATTAGTTTCTTGGTCCAATATGAAGCAAAACTCAGTAGTACTTTCCACAGCCGAGGCAGAATATATTGCAGTAGGAAGTTGTGTTGCACAAGTACTATGGCTAAAACAACAAATTCTTGATCTTGGCCTACCTGTAGGAACCATTTCAATCATGGGTGACAACATAAGCGCAATTTTCATCTCTAAGAACCCAATTCAGCACTCTCGAACAAAACACATAGACATTAGACACCATTTCATTAGAGATCACATTGCTAAGGGAGATATAGAATTGCATCACATCGCTACAAAAGATCAATTAGCTGACATATTCACAAAACCTCTAGCTTTCGACACCTTTAGCACCATGAGGACTAGATTAGGTGTCATATATATAACTGCATAAAAAAAATCAAAACAAAAAAAAAGAAAAAATATAGGGCTGCTCCTGATCATCACACACTCACTACACATAAAGCACTAACCTTGACTCTGTAATATCGTACTGTACGATACACTGATCGTACTGTACGGTATACTATAATTTACACAGAACAAACCAAATGGTAAATTTTGTCTCTGTTGATCGTACTATACGACTAACATCATACTTTACGATAAATTATTGGTCATCATACGGTACAATATCTCCTCTTCGTACTGTACGCGCCACATCAGCGAATGGATTGAGAAGAAATTTAAGCGTGATGATACGTTATTATTGCCGATCGTACTGTACGATATACATGCATCGTACTGTATGATCCACCTCAGCAAACGGATGAGAACAAAAAAGGGGTTTGGTACAATATTAATGTCATTCGTACTGTACGATACACCTGTTCGTACTGTACGATACTTTTGGTCAAAAGTGGTACTGATAACCCTTGGGATGAACGATATTCTTCTGATCGTACTGTATGATCTCTATCGTACGGTACGCTTTGACCACCTTTTCCCGAAACGATCCGTTAGAATAATTAATACCATATCATAATGTACGATATACTATCGTACTGTACGAAGTTGGAAAAATTCTATAAATTGCCTGGTTAGGCAACTATTTTCACTCACACTTTCCTCACTTCACTCACACCTTGTCCTTCTCACATTTTACACCTTCCTCACTTCACTCTACATGATGTCTAGCTCCAGCAAGAGAGGCCGTTTGGCAACTAGAAGTTCATCTTCTTCTAGCCGTCACAGCGCTCGGTCCTGAGTGCTGAAAATGAGGAAACCTACCATAAGTATAAGGCATGCAAAATTACTCCTTCCAAAATGCTCAATTAGGCTGCACTGAATTTCGAGGTACTGAACCTCTTTGCTTCCACCACTTTTCAGTTCCTCCTCACCCTGGCCTTTCCCTACAACTTCGAACTTTTATTAGAATTTCTAGCAAATCTCACCTACACTGTTGACAACACAACTTTCCACTCCTTTGTTTGTCATCAAAACATAAAAATCACCAGAGCCGACATCGCCCAATATATTGGGCTATCCATTGAAGGTCCTAGGGTTCGTTCATTCCTCATAAATGAATTTGATTGGAGCAATGTTAATCGAGTCCTTAGGAACGCCGCTTTCTATCAACACCAGCCCCTCGTCCAATCACTAAATCGGAATGCTAGAATTATTCAACATGTCCTTAGAACCCTATAATACCCAAAGCTGGCGACCAGATCAACATGACCTCTGTTTTATCTGTTGCTACCTATCTCATCATGCCAACACCAAATTTGACGAGGTCGATTTAATTGTTGACTATATTCGTCATATGACCTTCGTTCGTCTCCCTACTACTCGATGGAAATAAAATCTAGCTCTTGGTCACCTTATATGATATATCCTCCACCATAAATATCAATTGACCTATCCTGGTGAGCCCGACAATCTTCCTATTTTTTATACGGATGCCTCTTTCCGTATTCTTTTCCATCGGGGACACGAGCCAGAAGACCCTATTTTTGACGAAGAAGAAGGAGAAGATGCCCCAACCGAAGCTCAAGCATGTCCACAACGACATGCACCACCCCGAGCACCTACACCAGCACAAGATTATTTGGTCGAACGCTTCGACCAACTTCAGACTCATCTCGATACTCACATTCAAGAACAACATCAACAACACGAGACATATATGCAATGGTTTGAAGAACGCTTTACTACTATTGATCACCGCTTTGACGCTCTCTTTCAGTACTTCCAACCAAACCCACCTCCACCACCTACTAACCAGGATCCTCCACTATAAATTATCTTTGTATTGTAGTTTTTTTTCTTATCTTAGTGTTTGCTCCTATTTTTGGTGCTGTCAAAAGGGAGAGAAGGTTGATATATTTTTTTCTATGGTTAAATGCATGTTTTTTTTTTCTTTCGTACTGCATCTTCTTTTATTTCTTTTCTTCTTATTATTATGTTTAAATTAAATTTTAAAAAAATGCCTCTAACACTTGCTTACAACAAATATTATTTGACATCATCAAAAAGGGGGAGATTGTTGCAACCCATGACCCCGAGTTTGAGATTTTGATGATGACAAATAATGTCGTTTGAATTATCTTAAGATTCATTGAATATTATTTGCTATTGTCCGTGAGTACTAACATTTCGGGAAAGATCAAAAGCTACTCAAGATGACAGGAAGACTCAAGAATGGGTAGATTAGAATTATGAGTCTAACAATGTATTTTGCTGTTTATTTTATTTTTATTTTCTTGAGTCTGGCAACAAAATGCATAAAAGTCTGAGCAACCATGCACACACACAGGGGGAGAGTGTTTTTAAATGAAAATTTTAGAGTTTTTCTTTCTCTGTAGATCGTACTGTACGATGTTATTTCGTACCGTACGATCAGAGCTTTGTAGGACGATTCTGTGAATAGATCGTACCATACGAATGTAATCGTACTGTATGATATGTTCAAATCCAAAACCCTAACCGTCGTTTTAACTTAAGTAAGTTATTTTGCATCGTTCGTATTGTACGAACATGTTCGTACTGTACAATTATTTTAAATACTTACTTAATTTAACCCGTGATTAGAGCAAGAAATCCGGGCTTAATTATAATTTGAACATCGTACTGTATGAACCCATTCATATAATACGATGAACAAAGATGAATTATAATCGTCCCGAAGATCGTCCTGGACGATCTCTTGGGTTTTGTCTCATCGTACTGTATGATGACTATCGTACCATACGATGAACAGAGACGATGTTTGATCGTCCCGACTATTGTCCCGTATGAACATAATTGTTGTGGATCATACCGTACGATTTAATATCGTACTGTACGAATGTTTTTGAACTGTTCATACCAATTCGTACCAGGACGAAGTCTGTTTATACATATCATACTGTACGATTAGAAACTGTACTGTACGATAGTAACAGCTACTTTTAAAATCTCAGGGTTTTTGGAGCCCGTTTTTAGGTGTAAAACTTGTCATATTTTGAGGGTGTGAATCAGATAGAGGAGAACGTGGTTAGAGAGGGATTCCAAGGGAGAGAGCTCTTGAAAAAGTTCTTTAGGGTTTTAATAGAGGAGGAGAAGGTGAGCGTTGTGAGGGAGAAGAAGGTGTGAGGGAGATCACATGGTTGCTCCGAAATAGCTGCATCTTGTTCCTCCTGTGGCCCTAGAAGAATTTGTGGGAGGATCTCCAAGGGGAAAGGCTCTTCTATATCCGTGACCTCGAGGTACTCTGCCTTCTCCAGGAGGGAGAAAAACGAGAAGGTTCTCTGTCGTCGCCAAGAGGGTGAAAACAGAGTTTGGCACTCCGCCACGCCGGGTTGGTGAAAGGGAGTATTGTAAGGGCTTCTCCGCCTTGCCAAGGGAAGGGACGAAAAGGAGAGCTATTGCTTGTAGTGAAATACCCGGAGCGGAGGACTCCGGGGAGTGGACGTAGGTCATGGTTTGACCGAACCAATATAAAATCTCGGTGTGCTTTTTTCTTATTAGTCTTTTTATTATGCGTGCATTTTATTTTGCAATATTTGCTTGGAAAATTTGTTTGAAAGAAAAGTTGTTTAAATTTCATGTTAAAAATTTTTAAAACATAAAAAATATTTATAACTCCTGCTTAGGTTTTAACTATTGTGCAAAAAGTTTTCACAATTTCACCTCTCCCCCCCCCCCCCTCTTGCCATCTAGTAATTTCAAACTTCCATCAACATTTGTTGAGTTGATCAGGAAGGACTTTGATGGTTTCTCTTTTCTTTTTAGCCTGAATCTTTTCTTTCTTGTTTAATGCATATTTGCAATCCTTCAAAAAAAAGAGTATTGTATGAAATTCATCATATCCATCATTACAAAACATCCTTTGTACCCATAAATTTAGAACTACATGCGCTATAATTATTCAACTGTGTATCACTTGTTTATATATAATGAATATGTATAGAAAGCTGGGTCAAATACAATACTTTGCTTTCCTATATGTTTTCATTCTTCTCTGATTTGATTCTTGAATGTTTTTGTAAGATCTCGCATCTTCATTTTTTTATGAATTATGAAATTTTGGGCATTCTGATTAGGTGTCATCTCGAGAATAATGAGCAACATAGGTTTGGGCTCTATGCCAAAGATGGCAACAAACATTTCATTAATACGACACAAAGACAATATTAGATAGCACAAGATAGATCAAAATGAGTGGGACTGATTTCTTTTTTTAAATATTGAGTGAATTCAATCACATCTGTTAGAAATTACTAGTTAGTACGCATGATTTCTTGTGTTCTTGTTGGAGCCAAGATCCCCAACCAAGGGGCCACAAAATCTTGTGTGAGGGTCTAAATTTGCATCCTGTAGCCCTCAAGTTAAGTCTTTAGCTAAATTATCACATTGTATCCCTAAGAGGTTCCTTTCCCCTTTTAGTTACACTCCAAATTTATTAGAGCCATCCAATCTTGATCAAATTATAAGATAATAGTTTGGGCTTATATTGAGCTTAGTTCATCATATAATGTGATTGTAGGGTGAAAGAGTACTCCCTAAACCAAAAACTGAAGTCAACATATGAAATAGAACTTCTAGGCCTTCAGCCATTTTGAGAGCATGAACCATTGCATTAGTGCCTTACTGGCTTGGGAGGGGGAAAATACATTTTTGCTTAGGAGAAGAGTAATGACTTAAAGTAACTGGAAAGGGAAGCACTCCACTACAACAATTAAGACCAACAATCTTCATGTCACCAGGGCTACTTCCATGACTATTCTTTTCCAAAGCAGTGACTTGTGCTTTCAAGAACTTTAGATAACTGGCAGCCTCATCAAGCATGGAGGCAGTGTCCATTTTCCTGCCACCAGGAACGAGCCTCTGCAACACTCTTAGCCTCTCACTGATCCTCTCCCTACGGTGCCTCGCTGCCGTGGTCTGTGGGTCACTCGATATCTTCAAGTTCTTTCTTCTTGGCTTCTCCACAATCTCCTCCACCCCTAAGCTTACAGGCCTCAATGCTGCAGCTCTGTATATCATTTCCTTCACCTGAGCAATTGCCTCGCCATCAATCTCCTCTCTGCCTTCTCCTTGGAAATCAATACTCTCAAGCTTAGGGCAGTCAAGTTTAGCCTTCTTGGACTTCAATGGATTACAAGAATCTTCACACCTTCTCGTGACAGGCTTTATATTTGAATCTATTCTCTGATCACTGAAGGAATAAGGATGTTTGTCAGACTCGACAGAAGAAACATTGCTACAGGTTGAACTAAAAGTTAGAATATTTCTGAGGAGTTGCAGGTCTTCAGAACGGCTAGTGATCAGAGGAAGAGGAAGCAACTGATCAGAAGCAAAAATTTCTTCTTGCTGCTGAAAAAAATCTTGATCCGTTTCTTTGTAGTTTGCATTCATCTCATGAGGCCAGATGAGTTCTTGAAGATCTAATGAGTTAGGTAGAACTTCATTCATGATCTCAGCTTTGTGGCTTACTTCCCTGTGCGTTCTCTCTGGTTCATGTAAATTATCATAAAAATTATTACAATTTAAACAATCCATCAAGAGTAGGCCGTGAAATGAGAGTTATGAAGCTTAGTAATGACATGGAGGAGATAAGCCTACATAGAAGATTAATCAAATATCAGATGAACATAAATTCTTCAAAGCCACAAAACAAGAAATTAAACTTACTCGTAACTTTATATGACTAAATATACTCAGGACTTCACCAAATGAACTTGTGATCTCAAGCACTTATCTTAGTCATTAACTGAAGTGAAAAGAGAAAAAAATTCTTAGGACTCACACTCCTGGCAGAGATGGAATTTGCAAAGCAAATAGTAATTAAAAAAAAAAAATCTGGAAATCACAATAGCCACTTAACATACATTTATTCTACCTGTTTGCTATGAAAAAGGAGGGGCCTATTGGCAACCAAGAACAGAAGTATATATAGGCATATAAAGAGATAGAAATTATAAAAGTTTTTTAATTTCCTTCGGTAAAAGAAAGAGCTGAGCTTGATTTTGATAAGGATTTTATTTTATTTTTTAATAGAACATTCTGGGTGGGGGTGGCACATGAGCTAGAAGCCAGAGAGATCTTGGTTTCTTCTATAAAATATTATAATCTTAATAAATTGTTTGTTTTTTTCTATTTTATTTCTACATGCCCAGACAGCTCAGTTGGTTTTAAGATGATTTTTATGACAAGTCTCTTTTCTTTCAAAGTTTAACTGTATAATGATCTTAATGACAACAAGCATTTCTGCTTAAGAACTTTATTAGAAATCCTGAGCTTTCACAGTTTTTTTTTGGAGCGTTCACACTCATCATCAGTTCTCATAAATTGCCAACGCTCCATTAATCACATTCTCGATCCGTTTTTATTAGAGTAAGTGCCTACCATTGGTCCATTGCTCTAAAGCTGTCTAATCTTTATGAATTCTGTTTAGGAAAAGTGAGAACTTGATTAGAAATCCTGAGCTTTCACTGTTTCTTTTGGAGCTTTCACAGTCATCAAAAGTTCTCAGAACTTGCGAATGCTCCATAAATCACAATCTCAGTCTTTATTAGAGTTATGTGCCAACCATTACTCTAAAGCTGTCTAATATTTATGCTTATTTTGATACATGACAGCTTCTAAATCAATTTGCTCCATGATTTTATAGGAAGATTTCCTATATTAGAGAGAGAGAGAGAGAATGTGAAGGGTCTGTAGATAAAAATGACATAAAGTTAGCCTAATATAGGCCTAGAGGTCTAGTCAAACTATGATAGTTACTGATTAGCATTTTTTTACTAATATTTTTTTCTTACTATTGATCCCAAGACTAAACCAATACTTTCATGTGCTTTGTCAAATATTCCCCTGCATGAGAGCTCGTCATATTAGCCTTATAAAAAGGAGAAATTAATAGGTGCAGATGGCAGATAAAGACATCCAATAAAAAAAGGGTGGGTGTAAGAGTGTAATTTTTCTTTTATAACTTTATATTACCAATCTTTTTTTTTTTCTTTTTTTTTTTATTGGGCCATAGATTTTTGTTTTCCACATCTAATATTTTTTTCCTAATAAATCTTTTATTTCATCAAATGTAATATACTACTTTGTATTATAAAATAGTGTTTCAATATAATAATTTTTAATTTAACAAATTTTTTACTAAAAATTATTTTAGGAAGTAATAAAAAAACTGTCCGAAATTAAGCCTAAAAATCTGCTACATCATGTGGAGCTAGCAAGAGTGTCATTCACTCATGTCTTGCTCTAACACAATTAAAATTATCAAGCCTTAACAGGAGCTACAAAACACCATATACACTTTAATATGATAGCATTTCGAAGATCATAGATTAAAAGGGAATTAATCCACATACCTTAGCGTTCAAATCTAATTTTAACTCATACGTTTAAGAGCTCATTTGAGATGACTTTCTTACTGCTACTTAAAACAGCTTTTTAATTTTTGTATTCGAAAGCCGTATTAAGAGGTAGTAAGAAAGTCTTCCCAAAGGAAGCCTAAGTCTATAAGTGAACAAAAAAACCTAATATTTACATCATTAATTTTCAATTATTTAATGTGACAATAAATTTAATGCTTTAAAAGGGGGTTGGTTTCCAAGAAATCATTTTGCACTGTATATTACATAAGCATTGTCATGTGGATTTCCTGTGTTATAGGATCCACCCACAAGAAAACAAAAGAATGTAATGAAAAGCGTGATTAGTAAAAGAGTCCACTTAATTGCAGCTTTGATCCAGTGAATCTAGGCCGTCTTGGAATGCTAACTATCATGCAGAAGACAAATGACTAATTATTCATTATTTTTCTTGTTTATAAACATCCTGTATCTGAATGTGGGATGAATTTATTTTGGTGTGAATATGTTCAAATTAATTTGGAGCTGAGATGTAGAAGTGATTTTAATTGAAGTACTGTTCTTTTTTGTTTTACAAATGCTTTTAAGAACTCAGTTGCAATAATTGTTGATATTCTAGCATTCTTTTATACACTATCTTATGTTGTGTTATTGTTAAAAAAAAAAAAAAAATGTTGTGTTATTGTTATTATTATAATAAAAAATAAAAAAAATTGTTATTATTATAATAAATAAAAGTAATATTCAATCAATCATCTAAGTAGTATTATTTTTGCTTGGATTGAAGATCTCCCCATTTAATCAAATACAAATCTTAACATGAAGCTAGCATGTATCTTGATGTGTACAAAGGGCAACTATCTTGTGCACCCAAGGCTTATTTAGTTGGGGCTTAGGACAATATAACATAAATATGGGTATGGTTGGCTTAGGCTTCGTTTGGGACACTTTTGTTATTATCTTCTACAACAGCTTTCAAGCACAAAGATCTCTTGAAAACAGCAAAAAATCTTCAATGAAGCTTAAATCTAAAGGAGAATTAAGCTATTTTGTTAATGAAAAAGATAAGATGATATAAGCTAAGAAAATTATTTATTTGTGTGCTCTAAACAAGATGCTCTTATGCTCATGGCTTTTAGTTGAGGCGATTTCCGGCATATCACACAAGTCTTTTCTATTAACAAAGCGAGCCTCATCCAACAACTAATTATTCAATTACATTAGCTTGCCTATAATTAAATGAACTTACTAGAAATTAGATGCATCAAAAATATGAAAAATGATAATAGAATTTTGATGATGAAAATAAAACCATATCTTATTTCTTGATATATTTTCTTTAAGTTGGGAAAAACTCTCTCTTACCTTAAAGAGTCAAATCTAGCTCTTCTCTCCCCATGCAAAGTTGAGAGATTATAGAAATAACAATGTTAAAGGAACTTAAAAAATCATTGAATTGTTGTGGGCTTTGAAAGGGTCTTACATGTTAACCCCATTGAGTCCCATGGCTCATCACTTTAAATTTTGATGATAAAAAAATATATGATTGAAAGCTATTGATAATTAATTCTAAGTATTTCAAGTGAGATAACAAATCTTGTTTGATCAGCCAGCTCAAAAAGACCAAAATTAGCGTGGGTTGGGCTTTGTTGGGCAATTGTATTATTTTACATAAAATTACAAATAATATTCACAAAATTAATATTCATTATAAATGACTATTAATTTATTTCAAAAATTATTTAAAATAAATTTGCATATATTATTTCATATTATTTGAACATTACTTGCCATTATAATTTCTTTATAAGTTTGATCATTTGTATTATATAAACATGTATCCACTGGCATTTTTAATATATTTCATTTAATACAAGTTACATTAATTATTATCCATACTTATTAAAGCATTAATTTATTAAAATAATTTTTAGCACATGATGAGATTGTGCTTTTCAAAATATTGCATTATTACTTTTCTCTGCCTCTATTGTTCTTTTTTTCTCTGCAATATTATTCTAATTATTTTCATTATTTAATATTACATGTTAGCTAATTTTTTTAGTAGGTAGTTTCATATGAATATCTATTATCTAAATTAGTTTCATGAAATGTTTGATATAATCAATTTCTCTTCTTTAAAAATTAAAAATTTAAATAGTTCAAAAAAATGCCTGAATTTACATAATGCATTAATTGCTTCAATTATTGCATGGACTGGCCACACCATAAATTAATTTCATGATTTTCTATATTTTATTCAATTAACCATATTTTATAGAATTCATTTTAAATAAAAAAAGACTAATTTCTTATGTTCGAAAATTTTAATTAATCTAAATAATATGATTTAATTCAAATTAATACTATTTATTTATTATTTCATTATGATTGACTCTATCATTAATTGTATTAAGAAAATTTTCTCAAGTCATGCTTTGAAAAAATTAGATGTACGAAAATATTTATGCTTTCCAAATTTAAAAATAATCAATTCTGATTTCCTTCAAAGGCTTTCTTTGGCCAAATTTTCAATTTGTCTTCTCTCTTTTGCCTAATTGATTTTCTCTCTTGCAAAAACTCTAAGAAGAACTCTTTTGAATGCTCTTTGTTTCTTACCAAAAATAAATTAAATAAATCTAAGGAGATTTCTCTATTACAAAATCTCCTCTTTCTTGAAAAACTCTAAAACATATGCTCTTGGCAAAATTATTTTCGAGGGCAAATTACTGGAAAGATTAAGCAGAGGGTTTCTTTTATTCTCTTTATCTCTCCAAATGTTGGAGTTGATTCAAAGTTTTGTGCTCATGATCTTTTCACATTGAATAAGGAATTCTTGAATATAGTTTTATCTTTCATATTTAGTTGAATGCAAAATTGATTTTAATGTCATTTACAATATCTTTTGAAATCAATCTTTGCATAATTATTAGTTGATTTGAATTTTTTTTCCTATTTATTCATGATTGTAAAATTATTCTCATATTGAGAATTTCTTTGTTTAAACAAATTTGAATACAACTAGTGATATTGATATTTTAATCATCATTACATCACAAATATTTTAATTTTAATTGCAAAGCATATTTTCAAATATTTATAAAGAAATAATCATGAACAAATCTAAATTTTGAAAGTTCAATTTGGGTCGTTAGACCTATTTGAACTGCCAAAGGAACATCCAAAGAGAGGTAAATTGGTGCTTTAAAATTTTCTTTTAAAAAATATCTTGATCGCAATTTTAACCAAATTCACAACTTAAGTTAAAAATAAGACCTTGTAATGCATAAGCTAATGATATAATAAAAATAAAATACTATTATTGTTTTGATTTTATCGAAAAATAAATATAGAAATTATTTATCTTTTCTAACACAAGCTAAAATAAAACAACAAACTCAATATTTCTCAACTCAGATATGCATGAAAGTAAATGTGCGAGAAATTAAAATGAAGAAAATAAAGTGCTAAAAAGAGATAAGAATGAGCACATTAGAAATTTATAGTGGTTCAGTCAACCTTGACCTACATCCACTTCTCGTAGTCCTCTTATCCGAGTATTGTACTAAACATTTAGCG